ATTGGGAGCCTGTGCAAAAGGATCCCTTTCTCAGCGTGTTCAGTTCCTCATCCTGAGCAGTCCTGCTCATCATCATCATCATCGTCATCGTCATCATCCGCATCATCATCATCGTCATCATCATCCTCGTCATCATCGTCGGGATCGCACTCGTCTTATCTAGCTCCTCTTCCTCCTCGCTCATATTATCGAGTTCTTCACTCTCCTGATCCTTCTCCTCCTCATCATCATTCCCCTCCTGAGGGTACAAAGGGGCGGGGATCCAGCGCGAGAGAATACTAAAAAGCGTGCCGCCCTCAGCCCGAGGTTGCAGTGCCCCGCCGCCGCCCTCAGCCCGAGGTTGCACTGCCCCGCTGATGGATGGATGGATGGCACGCTCATCAAGGCAGTAACTGAAAGCAAGCTTGCAAGCGAGAGACAATATTACACTCCGATCGTGACCCGCAAGGAGATCCACGGACGGCCCCAGAGACAAGGTTCGCATCCCGTCCTCCCGCCTACATCGGCACACCTCTCACACGGATCATGGCCCACAAGGATCTCCACCTACGGGCCCAGAGGCGAGGTTCGCACTGCGCCCCATCCCCCCCGGCCATTATGGCACACCCCATCACGCGGATCGTGGCCACAAGGAGCACCACCTAAAGGCCCAGAGACAAAATTCGTACAACGCCCCCGTCCACGTCGGCACACCTGTGACGCGAATCATGCCCCAGAAGGAGCTCCTCCTATGGCACCACTGGGCAGCTTCACATGGCGTCCCCCCGCCCATTTCGGAACATGCCTCGCACGGGGCGTGCCTGGAGGTCCACCTGCGGCCTCAGTGGGCGCGTTCGCGCGACCCTTCACGCGGATCGTGCCCCACAAGGAGTTCAGCACACCCGTTCACGCGTGCTCCGCAGCAACCATCCTTCCACACTGTCCCGCGTCGCGCAGTGTATGAAGAGCGACCCGCAACCTGCACTACGTATGACTGCAGAAGGATGGGTCCGTCGCCAAACCACTTGCTTGCGTATCTATGGCCTTCGGCCCATACCGCTGATGTGCCTGAATTTTGGGCCAGAGGACTCTGTACCTGCAAGTCGAGGTCTCTTGGCATGCTTCTCAGGCGTCTTGTGGAGCGAGCTTTGAAGCTTCTCGTGGCCTCATGTGGGCCCTGTTGGGTCCCTGCTGCGGCCTGGAGGCCCACTCGTGGCGGAGGGCTCGAACTGCCAATTGGAGTTCCCTCTTTTGGACTCCTCTTGTGGCCATCTTGGGCGCCCCCTGGACAGTCTCAAGGGTCTCTTGTACCGTCCTGGGGCCCTCTTGAAGGCCTCTTGGGCCGTCTTGGGGCGATATGTGGGGCCTCGTGCGCCGTTCTGGACGCTGTTAAGACCCAAAGTGCGAATATGCTAAAATGATACTGGAGAAAAACAAATCATAATCTTTTTAGGGCTATAGGGCTACGGGGCTATAGGGCTATATAGGGCTATTGGGCTACAGAGCTATAGGCTGTATATGTATGTATGTATGTATGTATGTATGTATGCATGCATGCATGCATGCATGCATGTATGTATGCATGCGTGCGTGCGTGCATGCATGCATGCATGCATGCATGTATGTATGTATGTATGTATGTACATGTATATGTATATGTATATGTATATGTATATGTATATGTATATGTATATGTATATGTATATGTATATGTATATGCCTATGTTATATGTGTGTATATATAGTATGTATATATATATTATGAAGAAAAACGTGAATCCACCCGCCGCTCACTGTGGAACTTCCCCCCTCATTCCTCCAGACCGGGTTCCCCCACCGCCCTCTCTCCGAAATTCCTCCCCCTGCTGGACCCCCCCCCCCCTCCCCCCTTCCCACCCGCAACCCCCCCCGCCACCCCCCTCCCATCCCCTCCCCGCCGCCCGTCCCGCCCGCCCGCCCGCCCGCCTCCCTATCCCTCCCTCCCGCCTCCCGCCTCGCCGCCCCTCCCGCGCCTCGCCGCCCTTCCGGCCGTCCCTCCCTCCGCTCCCTCCCTCCCTCTCTCCCTCCCTCCCTTCCCTCCTCACTCCCCTCAACCCCCGCCCCCCCGTCCCCCTCATCCCCCCGCTCCCTCCCCCCTCCCCCCCCCCGTGCCCCCCTGCCCCCCTTACCCCTCCCCCCCCCCGAAACGGGGGGGGGTCCACTACATGTTCGACCCCTCCCCCCCAGAAAACCGAGAGGGGTCCCAGTAAGCAGTCGTGTTCAGGGAGGCGAAAAGAGGGGCACAAGTTCGAACCATCCCCCGCCCCCCCTCCGGAAATACCTGGCGGTTCACTACCGTTTCGACCCCCCCACTCGAAAACCGGGGGGGGGTCACTGACCTGGTTCCGTAAAGCTCCCCCCCCCCTCGAAAACCGTGTGGGGGGTTCCACTACCGTTCGACCCCTCCCCCCCCCGAAAACCGGATGGGGGTCACTACCGGTTCGAACTCCCTACCCCCCCAGAAAAACCAAGATGGTTCACTATCATGTTCGCACCCCCCCCCTCCGAAACCGGGGGGGTCCACACCGGTTCGACCCCCCCCTCGAAAACCGGGGCGGGTCACTACCGGTTCGAACCCCTCCCCCCCGTGAAAACCGGGGGGGGGGTCACTACCGGTTCGAACCCCTCCCCCCACCCCCACCCCCACGCTCACCGCCAGCAAACAACTCTGGGTCCCTACCACCGTCCGCGCCACATCCCCCACTGCTGTCCCCAGCACCAGTTCTCACCACCACTGTCCCCGCTGTTCCCACCACCGTCACCACTGTCATCACCAGTGCCCCCACCACTGTCGCACTGTCCCCACTGTCCCCACCATTGTTCCCACCACGGTTCCACTTCCCACTTTCTCCACGGCCCCAACCACTGTCCCACTGTCCCCACTGTCCCACTGTCCCCGCCGCTGTCCCACTGAGCTGTCCCACTGTTCCCACCACTGTCCCCAGTATCCCCACCACTGTCCCTACTGTACCTCTGTCCCATTATCCCACCGCCGTCCTCGCCACCGCCCTCACCACTGTCGCCACCACCACTGTGCCCTCCACTGTCCCACTGTGTCCACCACATTCCCACTGTCCCCACACCACTGTCCCTACCACCACCGTCCCCACCACTGTCCCACTGTCCCCACTGTTCCCACCACTGTCCCCGCTGTCCCCACCAGTGCCCCCACCAGTGTCTCACTGTCTCCACTCTGTACTACTGTCCCACCACTGTCCTCACCACCGCCGTCACCACTGTCCCCACCTCTACCGTCCCCACCACTGTCCCACTGTCCCCACCACTGTCCCGCTGTCCCCTCACCACTGTCCCCACCACCACCGTCCCCACCACTGTCCGCACCACTGTCCCACTGTCCCCGCGCCACTGTCCCCACCACCACCGTTCCCACCACTGTCCCAGCATCCCCACCATCCTCCAACTGTCCCGAAGAGCGGGCATCGTTTGCCGTCGGCGAGGGGGGGGGTTCGAACCGGTAGGGACCCCCACCGATTTTCGCGGGGGAGGGGGG